AACCATGAAAATATTGACAGTGATTCTACACACTCTTTGCCGTGAATAATTATAATGCTGTGACGATGTCATGGTATGATCAAATATGGCCATAATTTCGCTTATGGCATACTCGTTTTTAGCATGTCACATATATATTAACCAGTTCAGCCTTCAAAACGATCGTCCCCAAGTTGAAAAATTACATGTTCGCAATAGTATACTGTAGAATACAAGTGCTGTGGTATAAAGGTTGTTTTATGATAAATTTTCGGCCGACATATTTGTTTTGCTATTTGCGATTCTGCGGTCTTGCAGGCAGTATAAAATCCGCAATTGACGTCCAAACGTTGTCGAAAACTAAGTTTTCAGTTTATAAAACCAATATATTACTCTTTAAATCGAAGAAAAAACACGAAATTTCTGCTCACTCTGGATTTTTGTCGACCGCTATATTAGTGCTTACTTGTATTCTACTATTGCGAACATGTCATTCAACTTAGAGACAAACGTTTTGAAGGCTAAACAGTCTAAACTGGTTAATATGTGACATGCTAAAAACGAGTAAGCTATAAGCGAAATTATGCAGGCCATATTTGTATCAGTTTAAACTGCTGACACTATCACAGCATTATAATTATTCACGGCAAGAAGTGAGTGGAATCACTGTCAATGTTTTCATGGTTTATCTTTCCAAAGCAAGAACGAAAATTCATTACTCATTACTCATTACTCATTACTCGGAATACAAACACCCACATACGTTAAATTATATACGCACGTGAATATTTAGAACCATTGATTTATATGCATTCATTCAGAAATCACTTTGTGCGGCTTGAAATGGTTTGCTGAAACAGAGCGAGAACAACGATTAAACCCGAGACGAACTTAAGCACCATCTTCATCTATTTACAGCTGCCCCGTTCATCGACTTAAAATATTCCTTAAAAAACTCATTAACAAATGAATTCATGAGGAAAAGACAAAGGAAATCACATGCACCATTTAAAATCAGTGATTGAAATTCAGACTTTTCAATTATATTTATAGGCGACTCCTGATCACTGGAAAGTGCGGAACCTTGCTCAATTTAGTAGCTGCCCAGATCTTGAGCAGTCGTGTATAAACCACAATGAATGTGTTAATTGTGTACGGCACTTGGAATGTTTAGACCCTCTAAACAATTTACAATTAAGATGTGTCGTCGTCGACAGTGATGGTCCAATTGATAATTTGCCTGGATAACGAACGCTATGAAATTATTTACAGTGAAGATAAACATTTAGGAGTAGAATGACTAAAATTCCGTATAGCATTTACTTCTTGGTAATGAAATGTAATACTGGAGAATATTGGTGAAATTAATATTACGTATTCTTATTTATTTAAAAAATTCTTTGTTTCTGACTGGCTATCAGCTAACTGTGAAATTGTTATATCAACTAAGCTAATCAGCTAACCAAATATGGATTTTTCGCACTCATATTAGCAAAATGACGTCAAAGAGTCAATATGAAAAAATATGGACGCGTTTGCGCCATATTATTATGACGACGAGAATGACATTGACTCGCTGACGCGACTGATATGACGACGACGACGGCTGCCGAAGAATTAACGAATTTTTTTTTTCTTAATACAATAAAATACAAATGGCTTCTTTCGTTTGCTTTGAATTTTTAAAATAAATAATAAAACAATTAGTGAATTCGGTTTTCGCACAATATGAAGAATATGAAAAATGTATAAAACGATTTTGTTAATATTTCCTCGTTCTCATTAACAATCAAGACCGTAGCTAGACTGATAATTCGGAGTGAATATTCATATATTCGTGTTCTGC